AAGGAGAACGTGACTCTCTTCTTTGCCATACCCTGAAGCTAAAGCAACCCTTGCCACGTCCTAAGGTCCATTATCAAGCACTGTAAGTATTCCCAGGTCCCCTCAAAATCCCATATTATTTTTTCTTACATACTTGTGTGCAGGCTTCAAAGAAGGCTTATCATGCGCCTCACAAATCCAAAGCGCCAAGTGTCTCCAAGTGCAAATCCAATGGCCACAAGGGAAGGAGCATCATGTTCTCAAGTCAACACAGGCGCAGGCAATCTCCAAAGTCAAACCAAGCTGGCTTCTGAATGGGCCTCACAATTCCATTAACACCTCCAATCTGGCCCAAAACCCCCCTTGGGTTTGCAATTTTTATTGTCATTTTTATATTTTGTTTGTCTTATTTTATTTTTTCCCTTTTATTAACTATTAACATAATTAATTTATTTTCTATAAAAAAAATCAAAAAAAGAACTAATATCATTATTATTATTAATTTCGTTTTATTTTTGTAAATAAATACTAATAAATTGAATTAATTTTAATTAGGCAACTTTAACTTTTTTTCTTAATAACTAAAATAAATTTAGAATTAGGTTTTATTAACTTTTAATTTTATTTCCTTTTATTTTATTTCATTAAAAACATAAAAATACAAAAAAACTTTTATTTTTTTTAATTAATTAATTAATTAGATTAGTCATTAGTTTTAATTTCATTTAATCACAAAAAAGGACAAAACAAAAAATTCAATTCTTATTCAAAAAAGGGTCAACACCCTTAGGACGTTCCCGATTAATTTTTATTCGCACGCATTTACTTTATTCTGATTATTATGTAACTGCTTCAAGAATGTAATAGTAATTAGGTTTATCGCTTTATTTAATTTCTCGTACTTATTTACCAAAACGGGTCTTTGTATTTTTGGCGATGTATAGACCCGCGCCTTGTAATAGCGTAGAATTTATATTTCCGCAATTTACTTTCCGCACCCCTAACTGTTAAATGCATGAAAGAATGAATGTAAATAAAACCAATCTGTAGCTCACAAAATAACATATACAAGACAAACATTAACTGAAAAACAACACACAAAGCACATGCCACTCTTAGGGTACACTTCACTCGTTGCCTCGAAACGTGGTCATCAAGTATAGGACGTCTTAGAGGTCACCCTTTGTCTAAAGATCCAGTTGCCTCGAAACAGTTGCCTCGGATAAAAGGATCTAGGACATTAGGGTTACTTCTAAGGTGTCCTACCATTGCTTTGGTGACCACACATGTCCCGATAATCGAATTGACCTGAATACCTCCAACGATGGTGCTACCTACCTCTCAATGGTGGGTTGGCACTATCTAAAGGACTCTTACACAGCTTAATTCCTTAGAGTATGTAGATTCTCATGGTTACTTGCTCTTTTCAAACAAACAAAAACAACTTTTCGCACCCACACTTTCTAAAAGTTTTCAAACAAATTTTTCATACACTCTTGAGGACAGATACAAGAGTTACATAGAAATTTTTCAAACGAAACTTTTTCAAAACCCACTCACACTTGAAAAGCAAACAATTTTGAAAACATAAGAGCAAGTACCTAAGAGCCCGTGGATAACCACGGATAGAAAGGGTGCTAACACCTTCCCTTTCTATAAATCTACCTCCCGAACCGAGAAACATTCTCAAAGAAGGAATTTTGCTGTGCTTTTATCCTTTCCATGTTGGAGAACATAAAAGACGGTGGCGACTCTTGCTTACCGCGACATTTCACGAAACCAGCTTAAAAAACAGTCAGTTCTATTTCCACCGATCACAACAATCTTCTAAAGTTGTATGACTGTAGTCAGAAGCTGATTATGGAGACAGAACAGGGAAGGAATAGAACATTCAAGGTGAATGTTAGAACTGCAGACTCTGAATTTCTTAGTGCAACAAGTGTTGTCAAGGAGAGTGAGTTGTGGCACATAAGATTTGGTCTCTGAATTTCAGACGTTTAGGGTATCTGAAATCAAAGAATCTGGTACATGGAATTCCTACAATCAAGAAGCCTGAAAAGTCATGCAAGGTGTGTATGGAAGGGAAGCAACCAAGATTACCCTTTGCGTCAGAAGTAGCTCCAATAGCAAAACATGCCTTAGGAGTAGTACATTCTGATGTGTTCGGTCTGTTTCCAGTAGCATCGACTGGAGGGAATAAATACTTTGTGTCATTTGTTGATGAGTTCACCAGAATGACATGGGTATCTCTCATAAAGTTCAAACACGATGTGTTTGCTGAATTAAAAAAGTTCAGACTGAAGGCTGAGAATCAGAGTGGCCAGACTCTGAAGATCCTTAGAATTGATAGTGGTAGTGAGTATAACTCCACATAATTCAAAAGTTTCTATAAGGAGAATGGAATTGAGCATGAGGTTACTTCTCCCTATACTCCTCAACACAATGGTCTTGCTGAAAGAAGAAATCGTACTTTGCTAGATATGGTGAGAAGCATGCTGAAAGAGAAGAAGCTTCCTCATACTCTATGGGGAGAAGTTGTTGCAACTTCATGTTATGTGCTCAACAGATGTCCAACAAAGAAATTAAAGGAAATAGTTCCTATTCAGAAGTGGACTGGAGATAAGCAAAGTGTTAGTCATCTGAAGGTATTTGGTTCTGTATGTTACCAACATGTCCCAGAAGCCAGAAGACAGAAGCTGGATGATAGAAGTAAAGTGATGTTGTTGGTGGGGTATCACAGTACAGGTTCGTACAAACTTTATTGTCCAGAAACTAACAAAGTTGAGTTCAGCAGAGACATAATTGTAGAGGAATCAGAAGTTTGGAATTGGGAAAAGTCTCGTCCTGGCTCTGATGACAGAACTTTTGAAGAAAGGTCAGAAATACATGTTTCTGAAGCTGGTAAAGACTCTGACACTGAAGAAGATACAGAAGGAGAAGATGATTCTGACTCTGACTCCGATGGTGATCCAGACTCTGAAGACAATCAAGGTTCTGGAGAAAGTCCAATTTCTGAAGCAAGTGCTTCTGAAGGGGAAAGTTCTGGTGTCCAAAGTTCTGAAGGTCCAGTTCAGAGGTAACAAAGAGTCAGAAGCACCCCAAGAAGATTTACAGAGTTTGACATGTTGAAACACACTGAAGTAGACTCTGAAGGAGAAGTTATTCAGTCTGCAATGTTAGTAGACTCTGAACCCATGAGTATAGAAGAGGCTCTTAATCAGCAAGTTTGGTTACAGGCCATGAAAGAAGAACTTGATGCTATAGAGAGAAACAAGACTTGGAAGTTGACAAAACTTCCAAAAGGCAAGAAAGCCATCAACGTCAGATGGGTTTTCAAGCAGAAGCTAAATCTAGATGGATCAATTGGAAAATACAAAGCGATATTAGTAGAAAGAGGCTTTCTACAGAATCCTGGGCTGGATTACTTTGAAGTGTTTGCACCTGTGGCGAGACATGAAACAATCAGACTAGTGATTATAATAGTTACTAATAGGAATTGGCCTCTGATGCATTTAGATGTAAAATCTGCATTTCTGAATTGTCCATTACAAGAAGAGGTGTATGTCTTAAAACCTCCTGGATTTGAGAAAAAAATCAGGAAGGGATGGTGTTCAAATTACACAAAGCTTTGTATGGATTGAAGCAAGCGCCCAGAGCTTAGAATTTGAAAATTGATTTGTTTTTAAGGAACAAGGGTTTCAGAAATGTGAGATGGAGTATGGTGTTTATGTTCAGCATACTTTAGAAGGTAATATGATTCTGGTCTGCTTGTACGTTGATGACATATTACTCACAGGAAGTTCTGAACAAGAGATAGTTGAGTTTAAGAAAGTTCTGATGAATGCATTTGAGATGACAGATCTTGGAAAAATGAGTTTATTTCTAGGGATGGAATTTATGTACTCTGAGAAAGGAATCATTTTACATCAGATGAAGTATGAACTAGAGCTTCTGAAGATATTTGAGCTAGAAAATTGCGAGGTTGCTATCACACCTGCTGATACGAATCAGAAGTTAGATTCTGATTCTAATGGAGAGGATGTGGATGCTACAACCTTTAAACAGATGGTTGGTTCTCTAAGATATTTGTGTAATACCAGGCCTGATATTTGCTATGCAGTTGGAATGGTTATCATATTTATGAGCAAACCAAAGTGGTCCCATTATCAAGCTGCAGTCAGGATTCTGAGGTATGTGAAGGGAACTCTGAAATATGGAGTGTTATTTCCGTCTGGAAAAAAGATCGAATCTGAACTTCTGAGTTATTCTGATTGGTGCGAAGATAGAGTTGACAGAAGAAGTACTTCTGGGTACTTATTCAAATTTATGGCAGGTCCTATTTCTTGGTGTCCCAAGAAGAAACCTGTTGTTGTCTGTCAACCTGTAAATCTGAATATATTGCAGGTGCTCTGACTGCATGTCAAGCTGTGTGGATTCTGAACTTGCTGAAAGATCTGATGTTTGAGGTAAATAAACCTCTGAAGCTGATGATTGATAACAAGACTAAAATCAATCTTGCCAAGAATCCAGTTTTTCAAGGGAGAAGCAAGCATATTGAGACCAAGTATCATTTTATGAGGAATCAAGTTCAGAATGGAATAATCGAGGTTGTGCACTGTAGCACCCAGAAGCAGTTGGCAAATGTTCTGACAAAAGCTATCAAAACTGATCAATTTCTTGGATTAATGGATGAAATTGGCGTTGTCAGTTTTGAGTTAATATAAATTAAGGGATGGTGTTAGAATTTATTTAGATTTAATTAGATATTAATTTATATTTAGAAATATCTTTTAGATTGTTTATATCTTTGTTAGAAGATATAAATCTTAGATCTTCTTATATCTTTGTAGAAAATATATTTTAGATTTAATTTGTGTGTATAAATAGCCTAGTGGAGTAGGTTATTATAATTCACTATAAATCCTTATTTTAAAGTTGTCAGTAAATATTTCTTTTACTTTTTATCTTCATTGTGCACCAACAGAAACAAGCTTCCTCCATCATAGTACACTATTGTTTCTTTATTTATTTATACTATTGTACAGGCAGCAAAAGAAAAAAAGAAGAAGAAGAATGAATCGCGACCAGCACGCTACAACCCCCTCAACGCATCTGCAACTACCACCCAACTTCGAATGCGACCTCACCATCGGCACCACCGCGACAAGAAGCCTCTTCATCTTCCTCTGATTATGCTCAAAAACAAGAAGCTCCCGGTGCGAGTTCCTCCCCTGGCTTCCTTTCGTTCCAATTACGAGCGAAGACCACCATGAGTCACTGAATTCGATTCTAGCCACACTTCTACCGCGAGCAGTCACATGGAAACCCAACGAATAGACGCCCTCAAGCCTCAGTGTCATAGCTTCCTCAACCGCGAGTGAAGACCACCACCAGTCATTAAAGTTGACCACTACTTCGGATCTGCACTCAATTACACAAGCGGCAAAAATGTTGTAGCTGGAATCTGAACCTGCTATTATTGTCGCCGAAATAAGAACAAAGCTGGAGCGTGAGAGATGATGGAAAGGTTGGGCCTCATTGTTTACTTTTGTCAAGAAGACGGAAGGGTGAGTGGAGGCTTCACCCTCACTATGTTGGGCCTAATACGCCCTTTTAACTTTTTTGTTTCTTTATTTTTTTTAATTGTTTGTTATTTCTATTTTGTCTACACAAAATAGGATTAAGGATTACTGATAGTTGGGCCTCATGTCCAATTCTTTCTTACTAATTCTAACCCCTTTTTTCTCTTTACACCCTAAGTCCATCTATTTATTCATTAAATAATTTAAGTTAGTTTTTATTTTAACTATTTAAGTTAGTTACTTTTTTATTAGGTTAATTAATTTTCTTAGTATTATTTGTTTTTGTAAATGATTAATATACTTTAAATTAATTCTGCTAATTAGGTTAATTTTATTATACTAAATCAAACAATTGAAATCCACGCAACTCGCTAAATTCACTAATGAGCGACATGTGGTCAATATCTGGCCACGTGGTGAGGAAGACTATATCAAAATTCCTCCGCATCCTTCACATCGAGTAACACATGGCTAATATCTGGCCACGTGAGTAGGAGACTATATCAGACTCCCCCGCTCCACGTCTTAATCAAATCAAATACCAAAACAGCTAACCAACAATTAAACTTTTTCTACTAACGTAATAAAAAATTCAAGATCATTTTCAAAAAAGGATTAAATAGCATTGTCTTCGAATCAAACTGCGAACTGCATCTATGATCACTCAATTTATAATCCAGACAAAGTTCAAGGTTAATTCGAAATCAATTCTACGCAATCCTATAACAAACATTAACTGTTGTACCCCAATTTTCCCTCCAAGATTCCCCTATCATATCATATCATATCAACTCGATCATAACAAGATCACATTAGGGTTGACTCTTTCTCTTTTTTTATCTCCTATATTTAAGTTTGCTCTTGAGGGATCTCCAAGCACCTTGGTTGTGTATTTTGTATATGTGTTGTTGACTAACTTCTAATCAAAATACAAAAAATATTTGTCTTTGAATATTTGTTTTTGTAGGTACTGAGTCAAAGCATATGAAAAATAAGGTTTTTCGGTATTATTTTCCTAAAATCTCTATTTGCAAAGAAAAATAATTAAAATAATTTCATTTTTTTCACTGTACAATTGATTGCTCCTAGAGTGCAATCGATTGCACAGAGTACATTTTGTGTAATTTTTGAAAAAAACATTGATGCAACCGATTGCTCCCATAGTGCAATCGATTGCACAGAGTGAAATTTTGGGGAAAAAAATCAGCAATTTCAAGCTTGTCAATTTTGGCTCCAATTTTTCTTCATTTTTTTAAAGATATATCATTAATTCAAATTTTGGCTCCAATTTTTCTTCACTTTTTGAAAGATATATCATTAATTCAAATTTTGGCTCCAAGAATTAATTCCCAAGTCTAATTTCATTTCCCAAACCAAACTCCAAACCACCACTAATCCCAAGCCTAAACTCTATAAATAGAGCCCTCATTTCATTCAAATCTCAAGCTTTTGATAGCCAAATTCACTTTGCTAAAAAATCTCTCAATTCCCTCCATCTACCATATTCACTCAAAGCTCCATTTTCAAAAAAAATTAGTAAGCTTTGCATTGAAGCTTACTAATCTTTGAACTAAACCTTCATCCAAACACTTTTTCTTTATCAATTCTTTACATCCAAGCTTTGGAAATTGATTCTTGGGAATGAATTGAAGCAAATTCTTGAATTTGTTTTGATAATTCTCTAGATCTACCTTTGGTAAGTTGGATTCTTCATCTTTCACAGTGTGATCTCTTGTTGATCTTTGGATTTGATTCATTGAGCATTGTTTTGTGATTCCATTGGTGCTATTTTCTCATAATTTTATGGAATTTCCGTGCTCAATTAAATCCTTGATCATAAGGTGTTTGATGGAAAGTTTGAACAAGAATTTGGCCTTTTAAAATGTTGATTTTCTGTTTTTTCACAGGGTGCAATCGATTGCACTCACAGCGCAATCGATTGTCATAGAAGAATTTTACGTTTTTTTTGAAAAAAAAGCACTGATACAATCGATTGCTCCCAGAGTGCAATCAATTGTAACATTGACAAAATGTTTTTTCTGCCTTGTTTTGGGGTTGTTTTGATCTATCTCTCTTTTTCTACTCACTCCTTTTGATTGTTGATTTGGATTGCAATTTTAAATGTCCAATTTCTCTTTAAATTCAATGGACTTTGGGTGTAGATGAAGTTGGATAAATGTTCATTAATTCATATCTACCAAAGAGTGAATTATTTAATTCATTTTTGGTGCTTTGGATTAATAATATGGTTAGTACTTTAATCCATCTAGATGAGTGACTGGATTTAAAGATGAAAGAAATTTGAGGTAGTGATCCAAATTAGCTTATCATTCCTCTCCCTCTTCATCTTATCCCTTTATTTTTTATTTGTGATACATATTATGGGATGATGATCTCTATATCATTTATCCAAACATGAAGTACATAGATTACTATTGACCGACCTCAAAATAGGTGCGACTTCTACATAAGTCCACTTAAGATTGCTTAACATAGCACTAAATTTTGACCTGATTCGAGAAAATGATCATTTGTGGCCTAAACCTATCTTTGCAAGCCCAAGTATATTAATTTTAACCCTTTGATCCAATAACCTTGAGATTCATTGTTAGGAGGGTTTGGTTCTACCAATCCTCCAATGGATCTTCATCAATTTTGGTCAACGCATATCATTTAAACATCATTGATCATTAAATGTTGCTTTGAGGATTCTTAAATGGATGATATACTTGACAAAAAAGCAAATGCAACTTGTTGTTGAGAGGATTTGGTTCTACCAATCCTCTAATGAGTTTAAAATGCAAGTTTCAAGATGGTCATCCGACTAACCATTAACTTCTAACAATTGACTTTATTTTATGCTTTTACTTTATTTACCATTTACTTTAGCATTTACATTTCATGCTATTTTTCATCTTTGCTCACTTGAGCATTTACTTTTATGTCATTTTTATTTTGCTCACTTGAGATTTTATTTTATTTTTGAAGATACTTAATAATCAACATGAACCATAAAAAAACATTAATGATACTTGGACTATTTGGTTACTATCCTTGGCATTATGGAGTATTGAACTTCTTGGACTTAGGAATAGAAACCTTGATCTTATGTTGGGGACCTTATGACCTTAATTGATATTTTGTCTGGAGCTCTTGAGGTTTATCTCAAGACATTGGGTTGTTTGTTTGTTTTGTGTGCAGGTTATTGTGATTACCTACTTTGTCTGTAATATGGAATTCAGCCGTATACAATCGTTACTCTGCCCAATTTTTGTGAAGACTTAATACATTTGAAGTTTGGTCTTCTCAAGAGGTCTAGTATCTTTGCTTGCTTGGTTTCAATCCAAAGAATGGGAATTCTATCTTGACTCATAATGTCAAGTGTTGGTTTCTTGTTGGTTAGATGGTTCTTCTTCCTAGCTTTTATCTTATGCTTTAGGATAGTTCCTTCATCTCCTCCCATCTTCTTTAATTTCAAAAATATTCTCCCTCTTTTGAAAACTCATATTGTTTCTAAACTTGAACCACTTTCATAATAAACTTGGACTCAGGTCCATGCATTTTAAAAATGTGTTCATAAATAAACTTTAATCAACTTAACAATACCTTGACATTTTTCTGAGAAGACTAAAAGTCAATCAATCTCATTCAAACTATTTTTGCCTCTTTGTAATTTTACCTTTAAAACTTTTCTCAAAAGATTGGACTCTTGTCAATCCTTGTAGTGATGCAAATAACTATTCTTCTACAATATGAGATATTTTCCACTTGGATGTTGAGTGAGGCATTTTGATTTTAAAATCCAAGCCATATCCCCCACTTTGAGATGATGCAAATTCTCCTTTCTCATAATTGTGAGTAGTAACTATGTTTTCAACACGGACAGTGACGATGATGTCTTATCTCATAAAATTAACCAATAAACTTGTTTTAAAATTTTAAAGAGGAACTACGTGTACCCTGATCCCCTATTGCATGGAAGGTGGTACGTAGGCACTAAAGGTTCGCAACCGCGGCAGGTGCAAAAATCATAAAAAAATATATTTATTTTCTCACCTCCACCATATATTTTTATACAACATTTTATAGCCAAAATATACAAATTTTACAAAGAGGTTCCTACGGAGTATCGTAGATGTTTAGGATGCTAATACCTTCCCTTTGCATAACCAACCCCCTTACCTTGAATCTTTCTCCCCTCTTTTGGGTTACTCGCTCTTTTCCCAATCCTTTGGAAACAATAAAGCGCGATGGAAATTTTTATTTTGATCTGTACAAGTCTAGTTAATCCAATGGCTTAGTCTTAAACATTTCTACCACTACAGAAAGAAAATGGCGACTTCACTGGGAAAATCATTGACTTCTTGTTGGTCCATCCTTAAGTGGGTTAAGCCTATCTTTGTTTATATCTGTATATGTGCTATTATGTGTTATATATTATATGTTGTGTATATGTTTGTCTGGATTCTTCTGGTTTTCAGGGTGCTTGGTGATTACTCATAAGTCCTATACCCGGACTTGGGAAAACTTAAGATAGGACGGGCGATATAGTCATGTTAAATTTGAGGGAGTAATCCCAAAAAAGGAGACATGAGATCTCCCACTCAGTGGAGGCCCTTTGACTGTAGTGTTGTTTACCGAGTAATCGGGAAGACGTACTACTTTCTACTTGGGAGCCTGCTGAAACTGAGGACCGTAGAATACCTAACCCATCTTGGTCTTTTAGGTGTAATGCAGAAGCTATGATGGAGTAATCCGGAAATATTTGTCACGCGATA